CCAGAAGCGTCCGCCAGCGAGCAGTAATGAGCGCCCTTCAAACAGGCCTTTAAACATGGAGTGGGAGACAGTCTTGTCCCTGCCCCATGGCCGGCGGCTTCTCTCAGGGTGGGCTCATCTCCTAGGCAGCTGCTTTTCGTTCTGCCCTTGTGGCAAGTAAGTGTCATCAGGTGACTCTGGCAGGGTTGTGCTGAGGAACAGCTGGATAAAGACAGACCCGAATTTAACAAGTCAGGAAGGTTTGCTCAAAAAAAAAATGCTGGACACTGTTGAGAGGGCCCACGGGCCTGGCTTTGAGCCTCGTGCGATGCCAGCAGAGCCTCCCCTCTCCTCCGGACCCTCTCTGGCCAGAAGCTGCACCGTGTCGCTCTGACCCACAGCTGCCCGACAGACTCTGCTCCTTGGCCTGCACCTGCCTCAGGTTTGGTCGCTGCAGCCAACGGGACGAGGCCCCACCAGCGCTCATGCTGTGGGGCCAACGGGCTGTGCCACGGGAAACTCCCTCAGGGCAGCGGGTTTTTGCTCCACTGCATCACACTAATGGTGTGAAGGCACCCGAGCGGCCACCCTGCCTGTGCTGGGAGACAAAACATAGCTGAGCGAGTCCAGTGAGAAACTAAACCCTTCCCACACCCTTCACCACCACAAACCAAACACAAAGCCCCCAGCAATAAAAGTCAAATAATTTACTGTTGACCGCTGATAAAGACGACGCTCCCGGCTACGCTTGTCACATTCTGTGGACAGCGCTGGCCACCTGCGCGCTCTGTAGATGACAGGCTGCCTTTTCCTTCACATACAGAGCCTCCAAAATGGGGTTCAGCCCCATAAAGGTGCTTTCACAAACAACCGATTCCCCCCGGTACTTCATAAACTGCAGTTTTTGGATGCAGCCCTTCTGTTTGTAGATGCAACATCTCTTTCCACCCCATGAATCCACTACCTACTACGTGTGATTACACAGCTATTTGTGGGTGGAAGTTTGGAAATGGAAAAGCTAGTCAAATTTTGAAGTTTTCATTCCATATAGATGAGAAGTAGGATGCAAGACCTGAGGCATTAACTGTAATTTGACAGACCACCCCATATCTGCTTCCCAGAGTACATCATAGTATGCTTATAAATAATTCAACTACCCTTAACCCAATATCAGAGCTTGCACAGACGGAGGTGATTAAAACAATAAAATTGCACATTATTTCCCAAAAGAAGGAGACAAAAAATCAGGAAAAAAAAAATACAAAAAAAGGTATGAACTCAATCAGGAATTGCTGAAGTAGTCACTTGTGACTTGGAACCCTACTCTGATTCAATAGCTGCTCTGGTCAAGGAAGAACATTGGACCCGGACTCCCCTTTGCGCACCGGGAGCCTGTAGAGCCGTCCATGCCGGGACCTAGCAGGTTCTGCGTGTCGTGTAGTCCAGGACAAGGCTGGCAGCGCCGAGCAGAGCCGGGTCTGCCAGGTTGGAGACCACGACGTCCACGGCCTTGGCAGAGGAGAGCGCCTGCCGCTGGATCACATCGCGCACAGCGCCCGCATAGTGCGTGGCCAGCACCCCTGAGAGCACCACCAGCGACGGGTTCAGCGTGTGCAGGATGTTCACGACGCCCAGCCCCAGCGCCGTCCCCGCTGTGAACGACACCAGGAGGGCAGTGAGCGCTGGCCGCTGCAGCAGGCCTCCCAGCGCCCTGTAACACTGCGCCCGAGGCCCTGCTCTGCCGCACGCTACACTGAAAAGCAGCAGCAATTGCCATTTCCTTTCCCCTCCCCCCCCTCCAAAAAAAAAGGCAAAAGAGAGAGGCAATTTTACTGCAGGATAATGCATTATGCAGGGATACGTATGGCAAGGATAAAACATTGTATTACCACACTTCTAGTCTAAGGCTGAGGATCGACCTTCTGGAGAGCAGCCCTGCAGAGAGGGAACTGGGCATCATGGTGCGATAAGTTGTGACCCCAGCAGGTCGAGGGAGGGAAGCCGGCCCCTCTACTCAGCCCTGGTGAGGCCACATCCGGAGTATTGTGTCCAGTTCTGGGCTCCACAGTACAAGAGGGACATGGAGCTGATCTACAAGGATGATCAGGGGCCTTGAACATCCTAGGATGGTGCTGGCCTCTTTTCAGTGGTGGCCATGGACAGAATCAGAGGAAATAGCCGGAAACTAAAGCACCCAAAGTTCCACAGGAACTTAAGGAAAAAATTCTTAACAGTAGTGGAGGGACAGAGCACTGGAACAGGCTGCCCAGAGAGGTTGTGGAATCTCTGTCTCTGGAGATTTTCAAAATCCGCTTGGATGCAGTTCTGTGCCATGTGCTCTGGGTGACCCTGCGTGTGCTGGGTGGTTGGACTAGATGACCTCTAGAGGCCCCTTCCAACCTTAAGCATTCTGTGATTCTAAGGGAAAGGCTGCTGCCACCCGTCTCACCTGTGCGCAGGATGCCCGCAGCCCTGGCGTTGCCCAGCCGGGCAGCCTGGATGAGGTGTGCAGCACCGACAGGCTCCTCCTCCTTCATGGACATCCCCTCCACGAGGAGCAGATCCGCTGTGGGAAGGGAAAAGGCCGACATGGGGGAGGGTGACAGGCGGCCAGCTACCATCCTTACATCTCCGTTTGGGCATCCTGAGGCACCCACCCAGCCTTGCCCTTAGTCAAGGATGTCTTATTTGCGTTATTCTGGGAATTGTTTGTGGAACAAACACCTGAGACCCCAACCAGTCTCAGGTAACTTGCTAGTCTTGTCAGCCCCAGAACTTAGTAAACGAAGTTTCTCTAAATGCTTTCATGCTTGTCCAAGCCTGAGAACCTACTGCTCAATGACAACTGCTGCAAAACCAAATGCAAAGTGCTCACAGCAGTGGCTACCACGCGGCCCCGTTGCTTTCCCAAAGGTAAAGCACATAAATACCATCATGCAGCTTCTTCGCTTCTCTCTGCAGGGCTATTCCCGAGGCATAGGCTTCGATACAGCCTTGGCTCCCGCAGAGACACTCTGGCCCATCCAAGGAGACGACGATGTGCCCAAGCTCTGCTGCACAGAACGAGCTGCCATGGATCAGCTCGTGCTGGTGGATGATGCCGCCACCGATCCCTGCAAGCACAAAACAACGCGATGCCTCCACGTCTGCGCACTTTCAAAGGTGAAGAGCAGGGACTGGTACTGCTATCTGCGATACAATAAACAAGGCTTGCCATGCTAATGTCTCATCTAGCTACTTTAGCTAGGTATCTCCATAGGGCTTGTATTTTCCGCAGATGAAAGAAAACTAAATTAAGCCATAAAGCTAATCCAGAAGATGATTCTAGCCAAGGCTGCTCTAGTTTTGCTTACCTAAAACAGTTTGTCTGCAGAGCTGTATCAGCGGAACTTCTTTTTATCACTGCAGCTCGTGCAATGCCAAATGTTCCCTTTGCCTAAGTAAACAAGCACTGCATATGGTACCAGCGGGGACGGTTCTGCCTCGGGAAGCTTCCGGTCTGCGGCACCCTCGCGCCGCCCACCCACCTGTGCCCGTGATGAGTGTCACAAAGTTCTCGACACCCTTCCCGTGGCCGAACTTCCTCTCGGCCAGCGCGGCGCAGTTGCCATCGTTGTCCACCCACACGGGCAGGTGCAGCGCGTCCGAGATGGGCGTGCGCAGGTCCACGCTGCTCCACTCCTGGATGAGCTTGGTGGAGTGAAGCACGACCCCCTCACGGGGGTTGACGCGGCCCCCTGTGGAGATACCTGCAGGTGCCGGGCAGAGAAGGCGACATTGAGTGCACGCTCTGCCCCAGCAGGAGGGAGCATCCCCACGTTCACCACCCGCTTGCAAAATAACCGAGACAAAAATCTGTATGCGTTACTGGACGTGCTCTCAGGAGGATGCACCCGACATCCCGAAAAGAACGACATTGGGAAGAGCACTGCTCAATCAAGGGTTCATGTTCAGACTTCAGCAAACACTGCAGGAAAACATTGAGCCTTTATGATTTTTTTCTTCCAAGTCTTGTGTTAAAGACCATAATAACAAACTGCACTGACCAAATTGCTAAAAACACGCAGTAGTAAAAATATCTTGAAATTTGCTATACCCTTGCAAATTTGGAATGACTAAAAATAATCATGGGACTTTCAGTGGTAAGTCCTACTTAGAAACACAGTGTTTTCCTTACAAAAGTAACAAATTAGGTCCAGGGCGCTGCCTATTGAATAAGAACGAGGTTAGCAGTGCTTTATTCACGGGAAGGGGTCCCAGCGTTGACGACCTCTGGGAACACTCCGGAAAAGTAAGCTGCCCCATTACACAAGTATTTAGCTCCAGTAAACAGAGTTTAAACCTTTTAACCACTTTTCTTATACAGACATTAAATAATTGTGAAACTTACCTACAGGTGTCAAAAGACCCTATGAAAGCAACTCCAATTGCTTAGTGAAAATCTTAACAAGTTCATGGAGAGCCCTGTGACAGCAAAGTCTGTCTGGGTGAAAAATTATCTAGCTTCAGATCTGTCATCAAGTACCTACTAGAAACATTACTGACAGAAGATCTGAGAGGGGATTTCAAGAAGACAAATGTGTTTTCCTGCGGTAGAAAGGAGTATCAGGAGGTGCCCGAGCAGCACAAGGACCACCAGGACAGGGCCCTGTGGGCAGGTAATCTTTTTGTTTGACTGTTTATTTCTTTATATTTATTTTTCTTTTTTCCCCTTCAGTTCTTCAGAAAGTACCTTTCAGAACAGGAAGAGCAAGACAGAGAGATGCTCCCCCATTGGCACATATATAAAGGTACAAAATCTAGAGCTTCTAATACATGTAGTTCCCGGGTTGTTTCATCTCTAAACAGAGACAACGTGTTTAACCAACAGGCAGGGCTTATTTTTGCAATCTACCAGAATCGGCACTGAACAAACTGCAATTTCCATGGGTAAAAAGCATCAAAAAAGTTTACTTTTGTGGAACTAGTGAATCTGGATAAGAGAAGCTTTAGTTCACCTGCAGTAAAGGATAGTCTTAACGACATGACTTGACAGATGACACATTTCTCCTCAAGTTTTGGATACTTCCAAGTTTCTTGAAAAACAAATATCTTTAAAATTTCCGACTAACGATATCTTCCCCCTCCCTCCGCCCTGGTAATTTCTCAGCTAAAGCAGAATGGGGAATTTTATGCCCTCCTTTGTATACAGGACCCCCACACCAATAATTAGTTTCTCAGACCAAATGTATTATGCAGGGAAGAAGTATATAAATACACACTCTAAAGCAGATCACAAAATGCCAGAATGGCTG